GCGGGGGGGGGGGGGGGGGGCAGTCTCCGCTGAAAGCAGGATTGGGCCCCTCTCTGTTTCTGCTTCCAGCAAGCTCCTGTAACTGGCAGGACGTCTAGGTCCATCTGTAAAGCAGCTGCCTCACCCCATGGGCAGTGTGGGGTGTCAGGCAGGGGCAGAGGGGAAGGCCGGCCCTACCAGATACCCAGCCCTGGAGTCTGCTGAAGGCAAAAGCAGCAAGGGGCCCAATCCTGCTTTTGGTAGAGCCTACCCCCCCACCCCTCCAAACCCTATGGCCAGGGGGCATGCTGCCGGTGGACTGGGCAGCCTCTAAGCTGTGCAGCAGGCCAGTCCTTGCCTCCACAGTGGCAGTGCCTTCCAGGCTAGGCTGGCCAGGCTGCTAGCTGGCCAGGTGCTGCCTGAGCTCCCAGGGACCCAATCCAACTTTCCTGGAACCTGGATACGGTATATCAGTCAAGGCGGAAATTTAATGGTAAATTTTTGGGGTTCAAACCTTGACTTATAAACCATGAAATATGGTAATAACAGTATTGCAGTGATTCAGTAAAATCCTGGGGTATGAGATGGTAGCTCAGAGTTGTTATGAATTATCAAGTTAGAAAAGAATAGCAGTAATGTACTACAGTCAACTGAGTTCCAACTCAAAAGAACTACTATAGTTTTATGATGATGTGTCATGCATGTATGATGCATTATGCTATGAAATCATTTCAAATCGTGAGTTAACACAGTTTTGGGGGGGTTGTTTTTTGTTTCGTTTTTTAAATTTTTGTCTCTTTTTGCTGCCTTCTGATATCAGGGCAACAGTTTAGTTGTTATATTACACTTCCTTTCTGAAACCTTTTAATACCTAGGCACAGTAGCATAACAATATTATGGATATTAGGTCAGGCTTAACTTGCAATTGCTCATTTTCTGTGGGTTTCTCAGACCCTTAAGGATAGCCATAGTTGAAAGTAGTATTTATGTGGTTTAGTTTTGAGTGGCTTTGCTTCAGTTTTTAAATCGTCTTACTTTCTACAATCATCAAGATTTTCCCCTATAAAACATGTATACATGCATGAAACAGCTACTTCATTAATAATGCTTAGCAGGCTTTTAAAAAAGATGTAACTTGAATGCATAATATAAATAAAATACCTTTCTCACATCCTTGAATTTCATTTCATCATCTTGTTGCACCATTTTTCCTTTGATAAAGTCTGTATCATAGTCATAAAAGTTGAATGATTCTTGTTGAATAGGTGGTGCTAACTTCACCAAAGGTATAAATACAAATAAGAAAAAAGTAGGCTGCAAAATCTTCATTTTAGCAAAGAGCAATTTCTCTGGCTTTTACTGATCTGGCGAAGAACAGCTAGAGTGTTGACTATGAAGAATACTTTCTTTGTGACTGGAAATGAAAATGCAGTCCGTCAAAACAATATTTAAAGCCTAGAGGACTAGTTGGCAGGGGTTTCTAACACATAAGAAACATGGAACAACTTTTAACTCTTGATATTCTTTAATTAGACTTTAGCACTTTTAAAAATCTGTTTGACCGTAAAAGAAATTGGGAAGTAACAAATACAAAACACTGTAGTTCCCAAATAATAAGAAAAATGCTAACCTAATTTAGTTTTACTTTCCAAGATTTTTATTTCATTTTTGTCTGATAGGCAGAAGACTTTACAAAATACTATTTGCAACACTTGGGATAGGGTAGTTGAAATGGTTAACAACAAAAAGAAAGAATGACTGGTCTAGGAGTCCAAAAATATATATATATTTCAGTACAGTTTAAGAGTTAATTTTCAGGACTAAGGGATAAAAACAACTCTAGCCTTTGTCTTCATAAGTCTTAGATTTGACAATGAACAAGAGAAAAATACTTTTAACTCTTTCACAATAGAGTACTCTACCCTTTCTGAAAAAAAGGAAACTGGGTATAATACATATCAGACTAAATCTGAAATATTTTTACTATACTTTTCAACAAAAAACATATAAAAAAATTTTATTTTAATTTATTTTAACTTTTTAGATATTTGCTTACAAAAGAGCACCTACCGTTGTTGCAGTTTGGGAGTTCTCCTGTGATTACACTAAATACAGATATATATATATATTTTTTTTAACCCTAAATGACTAGATAAAGAGTAAAACTGTGAATTATTTCCAAGTTGCTGATATGAATACTACTTCAGCAACCAACAGCCTTAAAAGCACTTTCT